AAGAGAAAAGGAGAAGATGAGAGCGCAGAAATGGGGTGTGCGGGGTGCACCCATGCAGCTGTGCTCAGCCAGAGCCAAGTCCCCCAGGAGAGACAAGATGCAGCTGGGACATGGCCCGTGGCGTCGGTTTGACGGGACGTGTGGCTCTGAGGAGGGTTTCCAGCCCACTGCTCTCATTGCAGGGACTTCAGCCCCAGCCAAGGTGACACTGGCCAAATCTGGACATGGGGCAAGACCAAGCAGAGGTTCCCCTCTCTATGGGGACAGCAGACCTGCTGCGGGGGACAGGGACAACAGCACGGGGCAGAGGCGGAACGCGCAGGACGGACGTTTGCTCTTACATCGGTGTCTTGCTCGCTTATCTTGTAGGCATGCAGTGTCTCCCTGTAGGCCTCCGGGAAGGGGGTCACCTGCAAGGACAGCGTGGGGTCAGCCCGGCTCTGGGACCCCTGGGGAAGGTGAGACAGCCCCCAGCCCTTCTCCCCCATCCCCATGAGTGGGGAAAGAGAGGTGAGAGCCGAGTCTCCAGAGGCAGCGGGACCCCGGCTGCTGGCATGGCCAGGCGGGCACCGGCAGCGGTCGGGAGGCAGCGGGAGCTGCAGGCAGTGCGGGATGTCGGAGCGGGAGCTCTCGCCCTGGCCCTGCCTGGTGGCTGGGATGAAGGCACAACCTCCCTCCCCGTTCCCAGCCCTGGTGCCCATCGGCTGGGTGAGCCGCTGGAATTGGGCAGACGCAACCTCTCCGCAGGACGCCAAGAGCCGAGTTAAAGAGATGCCTCATGAATCATTAACCACCGAGTGTACAACTGCCACCATTTCACGGGCAGGGAAACAAAGGCAGAGAGATTAAGCTGTAATCCCACTCAGCAGAGTGGAAACACCTATAAATCAGCAGCTGCATCAGGGCTTGTTTACCATCCGGCTTCTCTGTGAGTCATTTTCCTTTCCTGGAAATCTAAATTACTAATGGGACCTCACCAATTAAATGCCTCCAAGACTTCGAGATGAAAGGCATAAGATAGGATGAAGAGCATCATTATTGCTAGAAAGCAAGACTCTGCTTTAGAGCCATTTAAAACCATAGGACAATGCAAATCGACCTGAACCTGGGAAATGCCCGGCCCGGCTGGAGGCAGAGCCTGCCGGATGGGGATGCTGCTGCCTCCGGGCAGGGAGCACCTCAGCAGCTCCAGCTGTGCCCTCCAGCATGTCCCTGCTCCCCACGCACGGCAGATGGAAACAGGCACCTTCCCCGTGTTGGAAAGGCCCAGCGTGCTCCCACAGCCAGGAGATGCCCGGGGCAGCGGGGCAGGGCTCCACGAGCCCCCCGCCCGGGGCTGGCAGCACGATGGGCTGCGGGTCGCCTCCACGAGCCCCCCGCCTGGGGCTGGCAGCGCGATGGGCTGCGGGTCGCAGCGACCCAGAGACACGGTCCTGGGTGATAGGACCTGGCCATGCTCAGAGCTGCAGCCCAGTGTCAGCAGGGACATCCCAATGCTTTTGCAGCCCTCTCCGGGTCGGGGAACAGAACAAGCCAGAGTCTCAGGGAGTAGAAGGCTGTTTCCTCTCCCTATTCCAGGAGTTACTGTTTGGTTTAAGAGCCTCAGGCTGGATTCCTGCCCTCAAAGGCAAACAGAGGGTGAGCAAAGCACCCGCGTCCAGCCCAGACGAGGATGAGAGTTCAAGACCGCTGCGTGCCTACCTTGTGCTCTCAGCACAAGGATTTACTGGGTTTTAATGGTTCATGGATGGATTAGCAAAGCCGGTGATGGACTAGCAAGTCCCCGAGAGCGTGACGTGCTGGAGCCGCATGGATGGTGGAGCCTGCATGAGTGGAGATGGCAGGAGGTGACCTCAGGGATGGAGCGCGGGGCGGCTGGCGTGGCTGCCATGCACGGCCCGCGGCCGGAGGCTTACTTGCATGTAGAGCTGAGCCCTAGGGGAGGAGGTCTCCACCATCCTGTTCACCATACTGATCAGGGTTTCGCTCTCACTCATCTGCGGCAGACAGGGAAGGAAAGTTCAGAAGTCAGCGGAGATGCGCTCGCACGCTGCGGTGCTCGGGTGCCGTCGGAGCAGCGGGGCTGATCAGTCCAGGGGCCCTCAGGGCATTGGGCTGCAAGATGCCACCTCCGAGAGATGTCCCAGGGGCTCAAGCCATGTGGGCACAGCTGCCCCGGGCTCCTGCTGCTCCATTTTGTGCAGTCAAGAGCATCCTGGGCTGGTTGCATGCCCTGAAAACTTTGTTGAGGGGAAAACACAGATAAAACCACGCCAGCTCCGACCTGGGCGGCAGCAAACTGCACAGACAGACACAAGCTCGCACAGAGACGCCCACGGCTGCAACGCACAGTGTGGTCCCAGCAGACAGACAGACGGACCCCACTCCTCGCACTGCCCTGGCGGCACAGCCAGGGCTGGGACGGCCCCACTCAAGGCACAGATGAACTCCGAGCACAGGGGAAGGTGACCGAAGCCTGAGGTTGGGGACAGCAGTTGCCCTGAGCTGCTCCGAGCCATCCCGCACTCGACCCCGCTCTGTCCAGGGCAGCGGGACAGACCCCAACGCGGGGTCCCTCGGTACGGCGCGGTGGAGCTGCTCAGATCAGAAGCCCCGGAGCATCACTGCTGCCTTTGCCTGCAGCAGCGCAGAGCAGACGACGCGAGGGAAGCCCCTCGTGCCCCATGGACCTCGAGACCCAAGGGGTGACAGCGGTTTAAGCACAAACCAGGGACCAAACCCCAATGGGGGGCAGGTCGGCAAGGTGGGGCGCAGCCGAGGGAGCCGTCCCTGCGATCGGAGAAATGAGGAGAGAGAAAATAAAGCAGCCAGCAAGGTGTTTGAAAAGAGACACGCGGCAGCGTCACTCCAAATTAGTCTCTCCAGAGGTCAGCAGGAGAGGAGGAGGAGACGCAGAGCCTTTTCAGGGAGTGTTTTAAAGAGCCTCGGAGAGCGAGCATTGCTGCCGACGGCCGTGAAATAACCCAGAGAGCTTTTATTGCGGCGAGCTCTCCTGCCTGTCCTTGGCTCTGCTCCAAGGCAGACACAGATCTTGGCGATTACTGCGCCGACGGAGATTTGCAGACTAATGAGATTGTCCCTGGAGCAGCTCCCTTCGTGCAAGCCTGGCTTTTCGCCTGGGCTGCAGCGCTGGCCGACAGCTCCCGTCCCTGGCTTTGACTTCAGCTGGTGCCTGCGGGTTTCAACCCACCAGTCCCGGGGGTCTCTCCCAGCCGGATGGCCCCCACCCAGCTCCTGGGATGAAGTCGGCTCACAGCTTTCCTCCAAACACCCCCTGCCATGCAAAGACCAGGGAGCTGCTGCTTTGGTATCAGTCCCAGCGGGTGCCTCACCCTGGCCCTGCATCAAGCCTCTCATCTTCGAGGAGGAACAGGGTCAGCACATCACCAAAACCACCTCGCACCCGTCCGGCTCCCCACGACTCACCCCCGCACGGGGGGCCCCCCAGCCTCTGGACCCTGCAGCAGCCCAGCTCACAGCAGAGCTGAGGCACTGCTGGCTTTGGGGACACGGTGTCCAGCACGGCCACGCAGCACAGAGGGACACGGGGAGGGGTTCAGAGCCAGCTGCCTCTCCTGCACCCCAGGAGCAGCTCCCCAAGGCCCCAGGGATGTGGGAACCTGCCCCGGCTCCCTCCAGGACCCCCCACCAGCTACAGCACACCACATAGAAGGCATTGTCGGGGGAGTTTTTCTGCCAAGCAATGAGTGACCCTACAGATGGGAAGGATGGGAGAAGCAAACCAAAGACAACTCGTGCTGCTTTAATGCCAAGAAGGGTGATGGATGGATGTTAGGGGAAGAGATGCTGCACTGGGAGGGAAGGGGACGCTGCTGGGGACGGGGCACACGGGGACGTAAGCAGCATGAGGCTTGCAGCCAGCTCTGCCTACCTGCTGGTCCAAATACTCTAGGTTTCTTTGCAACTGAAGGTCTAAAAGTTCATCCTACCAGGAGCCAGCAGGCACGCGGCAAGAAACGAACACACAAAACATATAAAAGAAGAAGCAAAGCAGTTAGGGAAGGGGACGCTGCTGGGGACGGGGCACACGGGGACGTAAGCAGCATGAGGCTTGCAGCCAGCTCTGCCTACCTGCTGGTCCAAATACTCTAGGTTTCTTTGCAACTGAAGGTCTAAAAGTTCATCCTACCAGGAGCCAGCAGGCACGCGGCAAGAAACGAACACACAAAACATATAAAAGAAGAAGCAAAGCAGTTAGGGTGAAGGCTACGGTGATGCGAAGCCCTCTCGGCCGGGGAAGCGAGGCACGTCCCTGGCGCGGGGCCGGGAGAGCTGCTGCCGAGGACGTGCCCTGCGGGAGCCCCGCTCTCCTCCCGGCTCTCCCGCCCGGCTCTCCGAGCCCCCGCAGAGGGACCGCCC